AACGAATGATATTGGACTCCAGACAACGCAAGTTCAACTTCACGACGAAGGGACCGCTGGTTTTCAACAAACATTTCTCAATTTCAGAGCCAATTTCAACTTCACAACGAAGGATATTGGACTCCAGACAACGTAAGTTCAACTTCACGACGAAGGGACCGCTGGTTGTCAACAACCATTTCTCAATCCTAGAGTCAATTTCAACTTCACAACGAAGGATATTGGACTCCAGACAACGCAAGTTCAACTTCACGACGAAGGGACCGCTGGTTGTCAACAAACATTTCTCAATTTCAGAGCCAATTTCAACTTCACAACGAAGGATATTGGACTCAAGACAGTATAAGTTCAACTTCACGACGAAGGGACCGCTGACTGTCAACCGACAACTTCTCAATTTCAGAGCCAATTTCAACTTCACAATGAATGATATTGGACTCCGGAACAATACTTGGATTTCAACTTCACGACGAATGATTTCCAATTCTCAGGCTCAAATTCACGACGAATGAGCTATATACAATACCAACTTCACAAACAGATTGATCCAACTTCGCGACGAAGGAGTCATCTGTAACACCACAACGCCACAGTCTTCAGATCAAGGGTCACCTTCACGACGAAGTACCTTGAACCAGAAGATGATTCAGAGGCCACTTGTCAAAAGCTTTGAGCTCGTCTTCAACTTCGCAACGAAGGATTTCGTGCTCAGAATCTTCCAGTTTTGACTCAAACCCACGACAAGGGAGTCATTTCTTGATCAAATTTCAACTCTGTGACAGAGGATAGTTGATATGGACGAAATTTGTGTCTTTTAATCTTTGCTCTATTTTCATTACACGATAATGAGCAAAGAGGGGCAGCTGAAGACACTGAAATTCGCCCATCATAATACATACATATATATAATATTATATTATGTTATAAATTATAATATAGTTTATTTACATCCTTAAATTTCTGTTACAGGCCCAACAATAAAGGCCCAAATCCCAAGGGCCCCAGCCAAGACCCAAACCCGTGCATACTTAGGGTTTCCAAAGAACCCTAGGTTCACACACTCCATCAGTGCCGTTCTCCCCCGTTGAAGACCCAGCGCCGCGCAGCAGTCCCAACTCCCGAGTTTCACGGCCGCACGCCTCCTTTCACGGTCATTTCTCGCATGTTCAACAAGCACAACGACGTGAGATACAAGGATACATCCACAACCAACCAAGCAGTGATTTAGTCCAAATAAAATGCTAGAAAATCGGGACTAAGACTAGTATTCTTAGACTATAAATACATGTAAAGTGAACATGATTAAAGAGGGAGGAATTTGGCAAGAAAATCACACAAAATATTGAGAGAAATATCAAGCAACCTCGAAGCCTTTTGTAACAAGTTCGAAAAGAAATAAAAGAGGTTTTTTTTTCTCTCTTTTTACCTTGCTTTCGGTTCATTCTTTGCCTTGCATGTGTGTCGTTCATGCTCTTTCTTTGTTGGTTCGAAACAAGAAGCCAATGACAGAGGAGGTGGGGATTTTTTCGAATCTCCGTTCGTAGATCCACTCTCCTCGAGGCTTGATCTAACATAACTATGGATATTTTTGGAACGAGTGTACGAAGAGCTTTCAAAAAAATGAAAACTTTTTACATTTTGCCACCGGAGAGCGGCGGTCGGCGTCGGCAACGGCGGCTGGAATCTGGGACGTTACAGAGAAACATTGAGAGAGGGAGAGGGCTCTCTCGACGTGAAGAAGAGAAAATGAAACTAAAAAAACATTTGATCCATGTTTATATCAGATTCGTGCATTTTGTAATAAATTAGGGTAAACTACCCTTTCGGTCCCTCCTCCCTTAAAGGCCTGTTATTTTGGTCCCAAATCCGATTTTAAACTCCGATTTGCTTTCAAATTGACCACTTGACTTGCTTTTCTTTTCATCTCAATCCTTATTATATATATACATACTAAATTATATATTTATCTATTTTTGGTGTTTTATTTATTTATGTTATATTATACAATTTTTCATTATTTCTTATATATACACGTATAGATATATTACCGTTCGTACTTCTTTTTTTCCATTTTCATTTCATTTTGTATCTTTTTTGTTTTTTTTTTTCATACTAATATTATTATAATTATTATATATTATATGTTCTGTATTTTATCTTATTATTTTACTATTATTATTATATATTTAATTTTAGCTATTATATATATGGAATTAATATTATTATATTTTTATTATACCTTATTATTACATTTTTTTATATACATATGTACATTTTATTTAATTCTTATCACTTTACATTTGTATATTATTTTATTTCACCTTTATTATGTTTTATTTATTTATTTCTTTCTTTCTTTTTCCATTTTATTGGGTCTTATTTTCTTATTTCTTTATTCTTTCATTTTTTTATCTTATCACATGTTGTCATACTTGTCTTCACTATTATTTCCTTCATGTTCTATATCTCCATGACGATTATGTTACTTTTGGTGTATCATCTATTGTTATTTTTGTTCTTTGTTTCGTTTTCTTTATCTTTCAATTTTAATTCATTTTCATCACCTTTTCTAATACACGTTTCGGCTCCTAAAAGGTTCACTTTCAAGTCAATCAATTGTAAGTAGTCGGATCGATATTTTACCTTTCAATTTAAAATTACGATTTTCTTAATTAAAGACAACTGGAAATTATATAGTACCGAAAGGGCGGTTCAAGGGTGCTAATCCTTCCTTGACCATAACCGACTCCCGAACCCGACACATTTCTGGTAAAAACGCAGATCAGGTAAAAAATAGGGTATCCGATCAACCCATTTATTTTTTAAATAAATGATCGGTGGCGACTCCAATCCATTTTCCTAAGTCGAAGCCCAATTCCGGGGCCCAACGAAAAGAAGGTTGCGACAATATGATTATTTAGACTATCACACCAACATGATAGGGTTTATAGTTCCTACAAAAGTAATAGGATTACCGACACAAATTACTCCCCAATTATTATTTTTTTGGTAACTCGCATGAACCGGTGTTGTACCACTATAATTTATTAATCAAACCTAATCTGAAATAAAATAATTTTTAGATGATATGAAAAAAATCAGCACTAACGCTCTAGAGAGTCTCGACTTCACTCACAACTAGGGGTGTTCATTCGGTTAAAACGGTGGTCGACCGAACCGAATTAACCATAACCGAATTAACCAAACTTTTTTTTTCTTTAACCGTTAACCGAACCGAATTTTTTTTCGAACATATTAACCGAACCGAATAAATTTCGGTTAATTTCGAATTAACCGATTTTTTTTTAAAATTTTCTAATTTATATAAAATTAAATATTTTTTAATTCAAACAAAGTTTATAATTAATTTAAATAATAAATAATTATAAAATAAAAATTTTAGATAAATTTTTAATTAATTAATATTGATTTAAGTTTAAAAGTTATTGGATCTTAAATTATTAATTGGGTTTTAAATGGTTTGGGCTTAGCCCATATGTTATATATAATATATTTAATATTTTTTAATTAAAAAACAGTTTACAATTAATTTAAATAATATATAATTATGAAATAAAAAAATTATATTATTTTTTAATTAATTAATATTGATTTAAGTTTAAAAGTTATTGGATCTTAAATTATTAATTGGGTTTTAAATGGTTTGGGCTTAGCCCATATGTTATATATAATATATTTAATATTTTTTAATTAAAAAACAGTTTACAATTAATTTAAATAATATATAATTATAAAATAAAAAATTTATATAATTTTTTAATTAATTAATATTGATTTAAGTTTAAAAGTTATTGGATTTTAAATTATTAATTGGGTTTTTAATGATTTGGGTTGAGCCCATATGTTATATATAATATATTTAATATTTAAAATTTAATTTCGGTTAATTCGGTTAATTAACCGAATTCGAACCGAATTAACCGTTAACCGAATTCTAAAAATTTTCTTAACCGTTAACCGACCTAACTAATTCGGTAACCGAACCGAATTAACCGAACTAATTCGATTCGATCGGTTAACCGAATTAATTCGGTTATTTGAACACCCCTACCCACAGCGGTCAAGCAAAAATTCATTTTATTTTATTTGTCTGAAAATAAAATCAAGACCCCTTGATAAAATATTGACAAAAATTATATGTAATCATACCAATCTTAGCTATAAATCTTAATAAATTGCATAAATTTTATAAAAATTAAAATATATAATTTATCAAATTTTATATAAATTAAATTATTATAATTACAGTATAAACATATTACGACGTAGGTTTAGACTTTTAGTGTCTTTATTTTTAAAGAAATATAATAGAAAATTATTATTATGATTTATTTTTCAAGGAATTGGAAGGGTTTTAAAATAGGTTCGTGTTTTTGGATATTTTTCGTTAAAATAAACATTATATTTGTTTTCAAGAGGTCAAAAGAGAGTGAATTGAAAATTTTAAAGTTTGACGGTCGTCGACTGTAGTGTTTGTCGATGAACGATGATGGAAATGGTAGGTGGCTGACGATAGTGATGAGTGGCAACTGGTGGTATGGACTTTTAAGAGTCGAATTGATATTTTATCTAAAGTTTAAAGGTAAAAATTAATATTTTATCTAAAATTTAAAATAAAATTATTATTCTATATAAAATTAAAGGTGAAAATCAAAATTTAAATATTTTTACTAATATATCACATTATCAAGCTAACGAGAATTAACGGCTTAGTGATCAAAATAAGATAAATAAAAAAGGAAGGTAACCAAAACGTAACATTTTCAAAATTAATTACCAAAAAAAGATAGACTAAAAATAAAAGAGACTACGACCGTAGTTTACCCCAAAAGAATATATAAATTCAAAATAAACCACATCTACTAAGAACCAGGTTTACCTGTAGCGATTTTCAACTTTCAATCACACGCACCGTTTTACCGATTTTCACCCCCACTTAGTCTTAATATCACCGCCTATATCCACGTGTCTTCCTTAGAGTTAAGAATGCGTGTTTCCCTTATTTTACCTCAGAACTAGGTTTTTGTCCAATCTAGAGGATCAGCTCATTCAGTGCAACCATGGCTAACCGTACGGATCCGGCCGCCAAAAGCATAAGGGGAACGAACCCTCAAAACCTTGTCGAGAAGATTGTACGCTCGAAGATTTACCAGAATACCTACTGGAAGGAGCAGTGTTTCGGGCTGACGGCGGAGACGCTGGTTGACAAGGCAATGGAGCTGGACCACATCGGCGGAACTTACGGCGGTAATCGAAAGCCCACTCCCTTCTTGTGCCTCGTCATGAAAATGCTCCAAATCCAACCCGAAAAGGATATAGTAGTCGAATTCATCAAAAACGACGATTATAAGTTAGTTTCTCAATAACATTCTATTTTCTTTTTTCCCCTTTTGCTTGTTTCAGTTTCACCAAGTATTACGTGGAAATTAATTTCAGGTATGTAAGGGTTATGGGAGCTTTTTATTTGCGTCTTACGGGGATTGATTCTGACATTTATCGTTATTTAGAGCCTTTGTACAACGATTATCGGAAAGTAAGGCGAAAATCACCTGATGGAAGTAAGTTCTTTCTTTTTCTTCACTTAATTTTTTAAATTTTCTTTTCAATTTTATTCTGCATCTATTGCATTGTGTGTCAGGTTTAATGTTTAGATGGGTGTATTAATTGTTGTTATCTTGGGTGATCTTCAATATATCAGATTTCATCTTGACTCATGTTGACGTGGTGATTGATGAACTTCTCACAACTGATTACTCTTGTGATATTGCCATACCGCGTATTAAGAAAAGGTAAGATTTACTTTTTCTCTCATGTCTAGTTATTGATTTCTTTGCCTATTTGATTAACATTATCAAAGTTGAATCTCTTTTCTATGGGAATTGTATATGTTAAGAGAGCTTAGCGAACATATTTGTGTTTATGATATGTCATTCTCTTTGAAGGAAGATTAAGTTCGTTATGTATATTTCAACAGGTGGACCCTTGAATCGCTTGGTGCACTGGATGCACGAAAAAGTGTTCTGGAAGATGATTTTGAGGAAGAGGAGGAGAAGGATGAGAACGAGCAAGATGGTTTAGAAGAGGAGGCGGCTCATGAAAAGGTTTATAAAGTTGTGTTTTTTTCATTGATAGATGATGTAGTTTTGCTATTCTGATACTTTACTTTGTTTTTAGCAGGATTATTACCGAGGGAGAAGCCCTGTAAGAGATAGAGAAAGAGATTATAGACGGGACAGTCATAGACACAGGTACCTTGTTATTTTGCTTGTACATATTTGTTTTTCAGAACTTTCGAGGATAAAACAATAAAAGAATATGAGATTTTTAGTGTTTTTCTCAAGATGATGAACAAACAACTAACCAGGAACCTAGCTTAGGGCTAATAAAACATAATGGGAGCCTTATTATTTTGTTCCACGTACGAACATTAAGATGCACCACCTACTTGGGGCTAATTTGGATGACATCATTTCAGTTGTACACTGCTCTTTCCCGTCTCCCATTTTGCAGTTTTTAGCTTTGTAAAAGCCAACAGGCAGGCTTGGTGCTTACTTTAATCATTTTACCACAAGGAAAAGAAATGGGTCATGAGTGGAAGCTGTTGGATGAATATGGTTCCTATTTGCGTAGGCATAATTGTTCCAATGTTGTGTTTCCCCTATGGCATTTCAAAGCTATAGATGGGTTGAAAAGCTTCCTATAAAATTTTTTATGTGGTCTTGCCAGGTTTCTCTGCACTGACAGTGTGCAGCGAGAAGTATGATAGATCATACAATTAAGCATTAGGTTCATATTTGGCTTGCATTTATACAGATTTTAGTTTGTGAATGATCTTTATACATTTTGTAAGGTAGCATTAAGGAAATAAACAATTTTTTAAAGGTTATGGTGTGACATACTTGACACTTCAGAATCTTGGATGGTTGGTCACTTCCGATTGTGATCTTGAATGAAGCTTTGTACAACTTGCATCAAATGTTCAAGTTATGATGGATTCATACAGTTGTTTTTGTGGGGTTTGTTATCGATTTGTCTTTACAAGCATCAATTTGAAATTGAAAACACTAAAACATGTATAATGTTGTTTCTTTCCCTTTCCACAGGGACCGGGATTATGACAGAGATAGAGACTATGATAGAGAAAGGGGACGTGGCCGTGACAGGGACAGGGACAGGGACAGGGACAGGGATCGTTATCGCCTGAGGGAGGAAAAGGGGTATGGCTATGAGAGGGATCGAGATAGAGAGAGGGAAGGCAGGGAGCGTGATAGGCGTGACAGGGATCATGGCAGACGAAGGATTCGTAGTAGGAGTAGGGACCGGAAGAGACATGCTCACAGCAGCATGAGTCCTAGAAGGCATGAAGCAGAGGATGGCAATCCTCCAGAAGAGTCAAAGAAGAAGAAGGGAAAGAAGGAAAAGAAGGACGATGGAACGGACCACCCAGATCCAGAGATTGCGGAAGCCAACAGGATTCGAGCATCCCTTGGTTTGAAACCGTTGAAATTGTAAGCTTGTTAGATTTTATATCATGTTGTATGCACATTGGTGTTATTATCTTGTTATCCAGTACAGGGCTATGTAGGAGTCAGAATCAGATGAGGTAACCATCTCTTTGATGTACTTCTTGCGTTTAGTACATACATCGCTTTCTTATTTTGGTATTTTATTTATTCTACGATTTTTCATTTTTAGTTATTAATATATATATATATATATATAATTTCTAATATAAATTTTAGGTCTTTCAAAGGGTCCCTAAATTGTGAATACTATGATAGGATTCAAGTTTAGGTTGGTAGCGTGAAAAAATTTGGAAGATGGAAAATTGAACGGGTAAAAGAGTGAAAAGATGAAAAATATGTATTTTTTTCTTTGATGCTTGATAGGAAAGATGTAAAATTAAAAGAAAATGCAATTTTCTTTCATTTACTATTTGATAGATTTGAAAAATGAAGGAAAATAAAATTATGATTTGTTTGGTTATAGAAATGGAGGCTTCTTATTTTTATTCTCTTGGAAAATAGAAAATGTGTATGACAAAATAAGAGAATAAAAATATTTAAGACAAGCATTACCTGATGAGCCGTGCCCAAGTAATATTAAATATTCAAAAGAGAGGTGAACATTCGATTGAGTCAAATTAAGTTAAAAAAAATGTAGTTACTTGAGTTGACAAGTCTTTTTTTTAGTCGAGTCGACTTTATAAAATTCGAGTCTAGTTGTTTGAGTTTCTGTTCAAATTTAATTATAAATATTTATAATATTATTGTATTATTTGATTTTAATTAAAACGATTTTCTTTAATCATATATATAGATATATATATATCACATAGAATCGAGAGACTCGATTTTAAATTTGAAAATTAACCCATTAATTCTTAAAAATGTTGGGTTATTCGAGTTTTATTTTATAATTTGACTTGAAATTGAATTTCTTTCGAGTCGAATCAAATTTATGAAATTACAAATTGAAATTAATTCGAATTTCATAATCGTAATCAATTTGAGTAGAGTTGTAAAAAAGATTAGTTTGTTCACCCTTAATTCAAAGTTGGATTTTTGTGAGTGTGGCTTGAATGATCTTAATAAAAGTAGATATGAAGCATGAACCAAGAGAAGAAAAGAAAATCCTAAAAGCTAGAGATTAGTGAGAAGTTGAGCGAGTGAAGTAAAGGTGTTCATGTACATGAACTTTGAAGAACAATATTGGTTTCATTCATGTCATGAGAGAGAGTGTAAGGACAGTATAAAACAAGCTGAAGATAGTCAAAGAAATGGAAATAAATGAGTAAAGAGTCCTACTACCATTCTCCTGGCGTAACAGCATGGCCGCTCCTCCTCCGAACCCAGTGCCGGTGGGCTACCAAGGGGGCACACCCGCAGTCCCAGTTTGGCTAAACAAAGGAGAGAATGCATGGCAGATGATATCCGCCACGGTAGTTGGCCTCCAAAGTATACTGGGCTTGGTCATCTTAGCATTGTCAAGAAAAAAATGGGCAGTGAATTCAGCTTTCATGGTCCTATATGCTTTTGCCAACGTGGTTCTCTGCAGGGTAACCTGGGGTTAGAAGATGTCCTTCGGATATAAGCTCTTGCCTTTCTGGGGAAAAGCGGGGCCAGCCTTGGGCCAAAAGTATCTAGTAAATCAAGCACTTATTCCTGAGACAATGCAGTACTACGACGACAGTCGGGTCGAGAAGCGGATGCTTATGTCTTTTTATCCCACGGCATCCATGGTTCGGTTCCAATGTGTTTGCTGAAAGCACGCTGATCTTATTCTTCAGCTCGGTGCTCTGGAGGCATGGATGGCTTTTGTAAAAAAGAGAAATCAACTAGGTTCCGGCTCCCTCTCTCTTTCTCGAGTTTACGAATTAGGGAGCACTGTATTAACTTTTTGGTGATCATCTGCTGGTCGGGACAAATCTACTTCTAAATCAGTGAATTACACAACACAATAATATATATATATATATATATATATATATATTATATATTTCATTTTGTTATAATGTACGTATTAATGCTAGTACATTTACAATGAAGTTATAAATTTGACGTAACTTGTAGGTCGTTGTTCATTAGCGAAATCGAAAACTGAACTCTAGGAAACAAACTGGATTTTTACAACATTGAACTGTTCAGACCGAAACTACTGATCTTTTGTTACTTTTATCTTATTTCTGCAAACTGCAACACTGTACAAGAACTATATGATGTAAAGCAAATAGACACAGCTAATAATCGAAAATATGAATCAAAATTTGTCATAACCCCAATAATCCAAATCTAATGTACTGAAATTATAAATAAATTAAAGACACCAATCCAGCCTCCTAATAACTGGAAAAACATCACTAAATAACTACTAAAACCCCCCTAATTTAAAGGATGAATTGCACTAAATCGAGCATGAAATTATAATTAAAAACCTTAAAGAGAAGGCGACAGAATATGAAAGTTGACAATATAGTTGTGCTAATATGGCACCAAAAGCACAAGGAAATGTAGCTAGACATGGCAAATGCATAGTCTGGAAGCCTAGCACATTTGAGTATATATTAGAGCTCAAACTTTCAGATTCTTGGCCGTGGGCACATTTGAATTACGTACGTAAAATGCATGATATTAAAATTAACCCACAACATTTATCAAAATGATCATTTTAACTCTATACTTTTTTATAGAATCTTTTAGCCTCTAACGTTTTATTTTAGGGGTAAAAAGTTCTATTTGTGGATGGAAATCGTTAGTTAACAAACGGTTAACGCTCCAAAATAGGAAATATTTTTACCCTAAAATGAAACGTTACGGGCCAAAAGGCTTTAGGAAAAAAAATAAGGGTCAAAGTAACTGTTAAATCAAATATTATGAGTCTTTTTGTCATAAAACATTGCAGTTCAAAATCTAAAAAAAATATAGAAATTAAAATAATCATTTTGATAAATATTAAGATTAATTTTAACATTATACCTATCTAACAATATATTTATATATAAATTCAAAAATTTCAAATAATACTTTTAGGGTAAACTATATGTGTAGTACTTACATTATTACTTTTGTTCTGTTTTGATACCCAAATTTTATTTATTTTTAAATCATACCTAACATTTAGTTTAAGTTTCAATTTGGTATCCGCCATTAAAAAATTAACAGAACTACTAACTTGATATTTTTCAAAAATTTTCAATAATGATATGATATTATCTTATGACAATACATCAATATCACTGATAAGTTTTTAACAAAGGATACCATAATAAAAAGTAAACTAAACATTTGGTATGATTATAAAAAATAAAGTTTAAGTATCAAATTGAAACAAAAGTAATAGTTTAGATACTATTCATATAATTTACCCTATTTTTTTATTAGAAAAGAAATCTGGTGGTAAAATTAATTGTTTTTGCATTACAAAGTCCTTTTGAATATGAATATGAGTGTAAATAAATAGAGCGTTCGGTGAACTGTTCCCGAACAGTTTGTATAATATTTGTTTATGTTCATTTGTTAAGCTAAATAAACGAACATGAACAAAAGAATTATGTTCATTTAATAAACGAACGAACACGGACATATGTGTGTTCGGTTCGCTTATGTTCACCAACAAGCTCGTTTATGAGTTCGTTTACTTATTTTCATGAACAAACTCGTTTACCCGATTCTCCATCTCCTTTTATTTTTTTACATTTTAAATATTTGTGAAGATAATGATTAAATAGAACACATGATAAAAGTTGCATTTTAAACTATGAACTTTAAGGTATTTAAGCACCAGTGACGTGATTTTATTATTTTTCTTTAGCTCGCAAATGAAATTAAAAATCGAATATATAAATGAACGATAAATAAACACTAAAACAATACTAAACAAACACTAATTGAACATTAAACGAACGTTAAACGAACATATTCATGAACATGTAAATAAATACGTTCGCGAATATTAAACGAACATTAAACGAACATATTTATAAACACGTCCATAAACATATAAATGAACACGTTTATAAATATTAAATAAATATATTTGTGAAACGAAAACGAACATAATATTGATGGAGCGTTTACACCCCTACTCTTGAACGGCAAAACACCAAACACCTTTAGTTGCTACAAAATGCTGTCGTTTAACCTCTCTTTAAAACCGGGCGAATGAAAATGAAAACGGAGCCCAAAGAAATAAGAAAATTTGCAACGAAATCCATCTTTTACTCGCTCAATAGGATAGTAAAGGCGCAAAGAGGCGGAGTAGTGAACTCGCCGCTCCCACGTTTACTGCAAGACGGCGGCGGTCGTTTAGGGTTTTAGCAGAACAAAAAAGAGAGAAAAAGAAGAAGGTAGGTATGGTGAAACTCACGGCCGACTTGATATGGAAGTGTCCTCACTTCTTCAATCCCCTTAAAGAGCGAGAATTGGATCTTCGAGGTACTGCTTCTCCTTTCTTCCGCTCCTACACTAATCCTAATAGTAATGTTCTCAAGCTTCCCTTTCTTTAGAACTTAATCTCTTTTCCCGTTTCAGGTAACAAAATTGCTGTAATAGAGAACTTGGGTGCTACCGAGGTGTGTATTACTTTGTCTGTGACCATTTCCACGCATTTATTGCTTTGTTTTACTTGTGGCTTTTGGGTTACATTCGTTCATTTTGATAGGACCAATTTGATAGCATAGATTTGTCTGATAATGAGATAGTGAAGCTGGACAACTTCCCTTATCTTAAACGCTTGGGTACCTTACTCATAAACAACAACCGAGTAACGCGTATCAATCCCAATATTGGAGGTAAGCTTTGAACCAACAATTGGATTTCCCTGATTATGTAGCATGTGCCCTTTTCCTTTTAAATGCTGTTGGGTGGGTGACTCTTATGGAGTTCACATTTACCTTGTCCCGCAGAGTTCTTGCTGAAATTACAAACGTTGGTTCTCACAAATAATCGGTTGGTTAACTTAGTGGAGATTGATCCTCTTGCATCACTTTCAAAGCTGCAGTTCCTTATCCTATTGGATAACAATATTACAAAAAAGCCTAATTATAGGTTATATGTGATTCACAAACTCAAATCTCTCCGTGTTCTGGATTTCAAGAAAGTGAAGGCTAAGGTGATTAAACATGCTACAATATTACTTTGTCTTTATTAAACAGTTTTAAACAGTTTTATTCTGCATT